TGCCCTAGAGCTAGTGGGGGCTTGGGGGTGTTCGCACCCCCTGTAGGCGCTGGGAGCTGGGCCACAGGGCCTGGCAGCCAATGAAGCCGGCGGCAGGGTCCGCATTCTTATCTCGCAATACGGCCAGGTACCCACTAACAGATGGACCGCACTGTCACTGCAAGCACATCATATTTTATACATCGGCCGCTGGAGAACGAGCCCGCGTACCCTGTCGCCATCTCGCCTAGTCCAAGACCGGCGTTCCGTAAAGTGGTGAAGACCTGGTAAGACCTGGCCGGGGGCTGAGGATCGGTGATGATTCATGCTGAGGTTTCGCGGTGTTGGGAGGATTCAGTCAATCCTGGCTTGGCCGTTCCGAGAATTTGGGAACAGCTCTTTGTGTGTCTGCGGGTCCTACTCACGAAGGTTACACACTGACCATTGTTATACCAATTGCTCATTAAACTACGCACTTCGTCTCAGAAGCTCATTTCTCGACAGTCAGTGGTGAGCGCCGGCGCATCGTATCATGGAATCGGTGGCTGTCATGACGTCACGCGGCATGTAATCGAGATGCACTATCATTTGATCGTAGCTCCAGGCAGTTCGTCCGTCTCATCACAGTCGCTCACAACACAACAAAGGGAAACAAACATCATATCAGTCAATTGCTGCATATAGTGTTCAGTGTTTTGTGGGAGGCTCAGTGCTGTGTCATTTAGGGTGGACGATCACGGCTTCAACAGTGCAAATCTTTGTGGAGGGCCGCGCAAATCCCAAACCCGCAGCGCTGGCTCTGGTTAGGGCATGCAGCCAAAACTTGGATGGCCGACGCCTCTTGGATAGAAACGGCAATGGCAATGTAGGTACTAATGCCCGCGCAGGCGCCTGCATAGGATGCCTGTCGGTGAGCCCAGCTTATCTTGGCTTCACCCTTGTCCGTGCAGCTCGCTAGCTGCATGTCGAGGCTACCGTCTGTGCATGCCAAGACCCACAGAGTTTTCTCCCCCCTTTGCTCGTGGACTCTCGTCGCAGTGATGGACATCGTGTCCGGCATGAGAGGCGCCTCCAGGCCACGGTGAGTGGTTCAGCGGCCAAGGTAGCATGCCGAACCCACCCAGATAGAGCTCAACCCCAGGCGGGCTTGAAACAGCAGCATGGGCTGTTTGGTGATTCAAGGGAGAGAACTGGAGAAGCACAAGGGCCGTATATGTAAGTAAGAGGCCTAATGTATGCGAGTACGTATGTACATATGTACACACTATGTAAGGTATGTATGTAAGGCGGGGGGACCTTTGGTGCTTGCAAGCTTGGATGCTCTCATCCATCGTCGATCTACGCAAAGGGGCCAAGCCTATCCTCCTACATCCTAAACACCAGGTAAGGGAGGCGTCAGGAATGGCGGGGGAGTGAGCTGTGGCTTCGTCCACAACCGGACCGGTGCTGGTCTCTACAGAAACAAAAAGCTTCATTCCGGTGAAACAATAAGGACCCTGCTATGCGGCTTACGTTCCAACGCATTCGCTGGGCAGACAGACTCCAGCGGCTCTGGTCGCCATCGCCCCTCCTCCTACGCTACAATGATGAAAGTTTCTGGTGTTGTGTTGCATAGGGGGTGTGGTGGTCTGATGTGCGCTTGGATGTGTGGGCACCGTTGACATCCTGGTTGCTGTGCGCCATTCTGCTGCCCCATTCAATCATTGGCCCCAACAATTCGAGATGCCATCTGCCTGTGGTGGCAGGGGGCGACAATGGGAGCAACAAAGGCCAGTTAATACGGGAGGCCAAAAGTGACAGCTGTGTTGGGCGAAAGATTTTCCTACTAGCTGCTGCAGAGGCGAGGCAATCCGGAACCCTAACTCGAACTTGGTCAAGGGGAGTGGCAGTGGCGGCGGCGGCTCGCTCGGTGAGGGAGGGATGGATGGTTCCGGCCTATCCAGCAGCAGGAATGGGTGGTTGAATATGTAGGTGAGAGACTGATTGATAGAGCCAGCCAACCATTCATCCACAACCCTCCACACAGACACGCAGCGGTGCCGGCAGTCGGCGACTGGTCGTTGCGGCTTTTGATGGCCTTTCGCCTCACTCGAGCCTGATAAGGGAACATGAGAGAACTTGGGACGGGCAGATAGGCATCTTGGAAGCTCGCGTCTCGCTTCCCGGCGCTCATCCCTTCCCTTCGCGGTGCGTGATTGCTCGTGCAGGCAGGTGTAGGTGCCTGTCAACCGTTCCATCAGCAGAGCATACACAAGGTAAACACATACGAGGAATCAATGGTGGACATGGGTTGCGATTGAGATGGAGGAGCTCCTGTCACATCTGCTGCGTCCTTGGCAACGGTCCTCTGCCGCTGTCAATTGGCCTCCGTCGACATCGGCCATGATATCTTCATCATATCATCTACCCCCCCTGCTCGTGGCCGGTCAGCGTCTTTGCTCGCCCGTCCCAAAACAGGCCAGAGCAGAGCTATACTTGGATGCATGCTTGAAGCTATTCTGCCCCTCCCGCTCACTCGCCTGGCCGAGCCCCACCGTGCCATCCAACATCCATCCCATCCAAGACACATCCCTGGCAGCCTAGACATCCCAGACACACACATTGCTTTTGGGGGCATCCACCACTCGTCAATCTGTCAAAGACAGCGACCGACAGAACATCCTCGCCAGTGCGGCCACCCTCGACGCAGCAGGGCCGTTGGATTGGTCGAGCAAGGGCTGGACTTGATGCACGCAACACTACACCATAGACGGCCAACCAGGTCGCATTCTTACAAGCATGGGACATGGTATGGACTCATAACATACATACATACATTACATACATACACATACGCATAAACCTACGTAGACATACATGTATACATATCCATAGCAACAAGCCCCCTCCCCTCACTATCGCCGCAGAGACGCACCCAAGCGTCTGCCCAGAGAAAGACAACACGCACTTTAGACGTCTTGTCTCTCCGCGGAGCCCACGAAAGGGGGTGGTCTGTTGATTGAAAGCAGCGCGCCAGCTAAAATAGCTTGCTGCTGTTGTTTGGGCTAAGCTCGAGCATGGATGCAACTTACCCACACTACGGCTACCGGCCTAACCTTGTCCTGGCAGACTGGCTTGGCCAGTCCGAGCCAGGCTGGTTTTGGACGGCACCGGCACGCAAGTAATAAGCAGGAAAAGGCAGCATCGGCGAGTGATAAGGGCGCAGGCGCGGGAGGCTCCAAATGGGCAGCCGGCAGCAGCCAGCCAGGGCGGAGAGGGCGGCGGCGGAGGATATGCACAGAAGGCATTGGAACACATCGTATCCATTGACAAATGTCCCTTTCATGCTTGCGTGCGTGCTCGGCTGGCCTATCCTGCCTATCTATGCTACCTAGGTCTGTAAAGCAATGCGAGATGTATCCATTGGGGTGCTTCGCGTCGTCTCGCCTGCTCCGATCGCACCACCATCCATCGACCGACCGTCCATGCTGCGACCCACCAAGTCCGGTTTTTAGTCACAGCCCGAAGCAAGCCATAGCTGCCTCTCTGGGGCCACCTCGCTGCCGCTCAGCGAGTCTAGGTGCCCGCTGTGGTGCCTACAGCGCTCCCCCAACACGCCCAACAGGGCAAGGTACCTACCCGCAGCGCTGGAGGTGGTCGCGATAACAAAATCGCACACCTCCCACCCTTCCAGCTGGTGGCCTTGCGCTATACCCACCTCTACCTCCCGCTAACCGCAAGCTGCAAAGGTTCTCGCTCGCCAAACCCCCCCACCATTCATTCATTCCCCCCCTGCACACTTCTCTGCCTCCGGCCGACAAGTGCCCTCGACATACTTGATTGTCGCACTGCGCAGCCTTCTCTCGCCCCGGGGCCAATTCTTGCTAATACCTCCCATCCGCACTTTCCGGAGCTGGTTCTGGTCTTGATCTTGCTTATACCAACCTTGCTCACTTTGCTGGTGGAGGAACAGCCATCGATTACCCCCGTCTTCCTAATTCTAATCTTCGATCCCGGCCCCAAGGTGTTTTCTCCGTCGCCTCGTCTTCCTAGTCGCCTCTTCTCTCCTCCAAAACACACCTCCGGTTCGTCCTGCAAGGCCGTTTACGCCGACAAGCCACTCTCAGCGCCCTGTTTCACTTCACTGTCGAAACACCCACGGCCCTACTCTAGGATTGGATCGAGAGTATCTCAACTTCGAGCCCGGTTTTTTTTGACTTCCGGACTCCTTGCATTAGACAGCACGAACCTCCCCGAATCCCTCTTCTCGCTGGTCGCGAAATCCACCTCTGCGTGGCTCCTGCCCACTTCCGAACCTGCAAACCTGTGAGAGCATCTCTTGGACAGAACGCCTCCTGGATCTACCTGCTGGACGGATTGAACTTGGTTGCTGGAATATTGCCCGAGCTCTTTCGTCTCTGCTTGTCAGTTCCTCGAGTCACAGTCGTCCTCTGCTCTCACCTCTCCGAAAACTGTGAGTACAACCACAAAGTAACTTTGTTCTTTTCCGCCACAGCCACCCCGAACTCGCCTCCCGACATCACCCATCTGACCAGTCACTTGGCGCATCCCGCACTTGACACCATTCTACTTCATTCCCTTCAATTCCTGAACATGCGTTTTTTCCTCTAATTCTTCCTACATTCTCACAATGGGTCGGATGTCCGCATTGCCAAATTCACCAGCGCAATCGCATCCCAGACCCAGTTCCTGCTTCATTTCCCCAGCTACGCTCGTCTTCTCGCCACGGCTTTTCGACTGACTCTCTATATGTGTTAGACTTCACCTTTAGCTCGACGACAAACTTGAAGCGCTTCCCTAAACTCCTACAGCCTTGTTTCAATCTTTGTTGCTCTTGGACGCCACATGCATCTGCACCACTAGACAGCCTCTGCCAGACCTGGACACATTCTGCGACCTTCTGGATTACTGTTTCGAGTCGCCTTTGATCGCTTGCTGGCCAATTGCTAGAGGGTTGAATTATCAGATATTCGCATCATTATTCCCCCCGCCACAACCTTCCCTCGCTTGTCATAGCTGGGATGCCTTACACCCCGCCGTTGAATCGATCCCCAGCCTCATCAGCCTCCAACTCGCCTGACGCCAGCCGTCGGTCGTCCTTGGTGTCCGGGGCCCGACCCTCCCTTCCTCGGTCCGCCTCCTACCTGAGAAAACATCGCAGAAATCCCTCCGTCACAATCCCTAGCGATGCCTCGTTCGGCTCCCTAACCCCTCGGGGGACCTCGGAAGATCTGCCTGCCATGGTCGCCAGCGCCATCTCCAGCGCCGGTGGTGCCAGCGTTAGGCAATCACCTCCACCCGTGTCTGATGAGCACGGTATGCCCAAGGGCGCCGTCATCTCTCCACCCGACTCTGCCTCGTCCGGTAGTGACGATGACAGCACGCCCGAGATCCGCGGACGCAAACATACCAGGCTAGTCGGCCTGCGAGATGCTGTTAACGAACTCGCTCTCGCAACCAACTCACACCAACCCTCCGTTCTACCAAGAAGCCATCACTCGGAGAACCAACACAGCCAGCATCTCGCTGAGCACCAAGCCCTCACTCGAAGCATGCATGTTAGTTTCAGCACCAGCTCGCTACCTGATGCTCACAAGCCGCGCAGAGGTGGTCATGTACGGTCCGCTACGGAGCCTAACGTGCTAGTGACCATGTCCGCAGACAACTCCATCACCGCATCCGAGGAGGAGACAGACGAGGAGCTCAAGTATAAGCCTCAAATGGTACGCAAGAAGTCGGGCGAGCTCGTTCGACCAGCCCTTCGACCATCCTCTCGCCGGCGGCCCTCCAGCATGCCCGGCACCCCTGTCTTCTCCAAGGCTGTGCATTTCGACTCCCACCTGGAGCATGTACGACATTTCCTGCAGGTGGATCGCCCGTTGGCCGTCAGTGCAGGATCCTCTCCTGTCGATAACCACGAGAGCGAGACCGAATTCCCCTTTCCCGGTGGCTTTAAAGGCTCCGCCATCAAAGGGCCCCCGTTTGAGTGGGAGATTGTCACGCCAAACTTCCCCTCTGATACCATTCTTCGAAAGGCTTTGCCTGCCAAGTTGGAGAAGGTTTGGCTCTCCCCAGACCACAAGTCGCTGCTTGGCTCCATTGCCGTTGCCAACTTGGCTTTCCAGAAGACTGTCATCTGCCGGTTTACACTAGACTACTGGAAGACTACGTCTGAAGTGACAGCAGAGTACGATGAAGAGATCCAATCCAACCAGCATTCTGCTGGCCAAGACCGCTTCACCTTCTCCATCAAGCTCTCGGACACGATCAACCTGGAGAGCAAGACCATGTTCCTGTGTGTGCGCTACTCAGTGAACGGGCAGGAGTACTGGGATAACAACAACTCGGCCAACTTCCAGGTTGACTTCCGGAAGAAGTATCTTCCCCAGAACGGCAAGGATGGTGCTCGCGGGAAGGGTAACAGCCCTCTGCCTCGAAGCAACCGCCGCCGAAACACAACTGATGGCCGACCTATTCCCACACCCTCTTTCGGCGAGTTCAACAACGAGGCAGGGATCAACTATGACCAGCCGATCCATGAGGTTCTTGGCGAGTCTGGGCCTGGTCTTCGGTTCAAGTCCAAGTCCAGCAGCAACATCGCCAGTGACAACATCGCTAAGGGCTTGTCATCACCCAGCGGCGCTGCGTTCTCGAACCGATATGACTTTGGCGCCTCTCTGACCGCCGCAGTCCAGGCCTCAAAGGACACTGGCAAGGAAAAGGACACGCTGTACATGAAGAACAACGTCCGCCCCCAAAGATCTGGCAATGCACCTAGTGTCATCAAGAGTGGCACTTCGGCATCAGTGAGCCGTAGCCAACCCAAACCGGCTGCCAACGTTGTCGCTCCAGCTGCTGGTCTACCGAGCTCGTCCTACGAGGAACTCGTGAATAAATATTGCTTCGTACGTACCCCTGGCTTACATTTCAACATTTCGAATTCGCCTACCACGGCTTTACACATTTGATTCCTCCAGCCTGATTACTCGGCCAACACCAAGACGACTTTCCACAACCGTCTTATGGTCTCGCCCATTTTTCTCATCAACATGTCTTTTGTTTTGGAGTTCTTTGATACTGACTGGCAATGGGGGTTATAGTTTGGCTCAAAGCAACAGGCGCAATCGCCACAGGAGAAGTCCCCCAAGGATGGCGTACTCAAGAACAACCAGTTTGACGGAACCAATGGTGGTGATGTGCCCAGCGCACGGGGAACCAAGTCGACGGCAGTTCACCACTCTCTTCACGCCTACTCGGCGGCACGTCCTTCTATTACAGCCTCTCTATCCGATGGCTTCCTTATCCCCAAGGCCACGGAAACACGACCGGCTACAACAACATTGACGCATCTGGCCGTCCCCGTCGTGACTGGCCCTTCCTTTTATGGAGAGCCATCAGGGCCGGAGCGTTTCCACTGGAGAGGAGACTCACACACCACACTAACCATCCGAGGTTGATCACCACGTTAGCTGCGAGTGTCATGTTTGACTCAACTGCGGCCTCGTGGACAGCGGCGGAACGGGATGTTTGCTACAAGGCACTACATGCATCAAGCATGCATGGGGACTCAACAAGCTGGCACTGTTGAGTATAATTGTACTATGATACGTTCACCAGCCCCTTCCCAACTCCCTCGCTACCTCGATTGGTGATGGACGGGCAAATTGGAAACAAGTAAAAAAAAACTCGAGGTGGAGATTCAACGGTTCACCTTTCTTTCATGTATTTTGAAGGTTTGCATGGCGCTCACGGTGTTACGGGAAATTGTTTTTGCATTTGGCATTTGGCATTGGCTCCTGCTTTTATTTTGATGCGGCGGCGCAAATGCATCGAGATTGCCTGGGCTGCATTCGCTTATGCTGGATTTTGGTTTCATGTTTACGATGAACGATGCCACGACCTGGGTCAGGGTTCTTGGGTCATGGCTGTGGAGTCTGAAAGGCTCACCTACCATGACTCGAATCACATCCATCCAGGGATCTCGCCCTGGTCGTGGCGCTCTTTCTTACTATATACGTATAATATTTTGTGTTCTGGCAATGGTTCAGCGAGGACACGGGTCAACAAAACGCGGGATTGGGAAACACGGAAACAAACGCCCTGAGAACAGGTAACAATTCAGCGGCACAAGGAGTTTTTGTCTTTTACTATCGGCATGGGGAGGAGCCGGGACGTTGCACGAGGGGGATTGAAATAGTGCTTTAACAGCATCCGTATAACAATTGATGATCTACGTCCACTCTAATGTTTTCTTCTTTTCCCCTAGTGTGATTGATTTATGCCAGGTTTAGACTTGCCCGGTCTCGGGTCTTGATGACGAAAGTCTGTGTAAGCAAAAGTGGGTGTTGGTGAGGGAGTCTTTGATTGCAACGCAAAGTGTCAATCAATGGGATGGGGTCGGTGGCGGCGGCTGAGGAGGGGGGCGGGCTGAAGAGGAAGAGGCGGTGGATGTTGGAAGACGGGCCTTTGTGTGGTGAAGACGCCTTGGCTACGTCGCACTGCGTGGTGCAGAAGCGTCTGGGCATGGGAATACGAGCTCAAGAGTCGCGAGGGCACGTCTGGTCTGGGAGGTTTTGATGCATCGTACGATGGATGACGCAGGGCGGGAGGGTGATGGGCGCATGGGAGGGTTGCAGTCGCGAAGGCGTGCCAATCGGTCTGGTCGAATACAGCCCATGGGGTATCACAGCGAGGTGAGGCCAAAACACAAAACACCTACGAGGGTTCAAGGTTGCCCTTGGGATTGGAGGGAAGCTGACGGGCGGCAGCAGCGAGGAAGATGGAAGGAGGGGAGACGGATCGAACCTGCGGCGTTTCACCAGACGAAACTAAGGCATGCTATTGGGTCGTTGGGACGAGACGGACGACGGATGGATGAATCGCGGGCTGGAAGGGGGAAAGGGCGAGCGCCCCGTGCGTTTGATGTTGGACAGGGGGCGGGCGCCTGGAACCAGCCTGGAATTTCACCTCTGCAGCGCTGCCAGGTGCCGAGGCGTCACTGCTGCAGGCGGAGTGCTGCAAGGGACAGACGCTGTACCGGCTCTGTGGGCTGGGCCCTGGGCTTTGGTTGGTGCGTGCGCTCGAGGTTTCAGCATCGCGAGGCATTCCCTACATCGGCTCTATTTCACGGAACGCATCGAGCAGGAGGGTAAGGTGTGAGGATGGAAGCCACGGCGACCTCCGCACGTGTGCGAGCTGCTGCAATGCGATGCCATGTGATGTGATGCAGTGACACGGTACGGCGCGCGCGGCACGAACGACGCAAGGTCTTCATGTTGGCGCAGCCCCCGAATAAGATTGAGTACGACGCCTCCTCTTTGCTTTTTTTCGGTGGCTTTCAGTTAGTTTTTTTTCTTTCTCGCCCTTGGTGGTGAGGTTTTTTTTCTCTCTCTTCTTCGTCATCCACTCTCCACCGTGTTTCCAGTAATTACTTGGACTGTCCTTCACTCTCCTTCGGGGACATCCTTTCATTTGCACACCTGGTGTTGCGTCACTCTTTCATGCGGCGGTTGTCTGGCCTTGGGGAATCCTGCTTTCTTCCCCGTCCATCGCCCCCTCCGCCCCCCCCCTCCTCTTTGCTGATCGATTCTTCATTTACGGCGGATCTGCCGGGGTGCCTCGTGTCTCTGATAGAGGAGAACGAGTGAGGCAAAGCAAGAGGCGGCATTGTCTTCTTCTTCGCCTCGCATCCCTGCCCACTCGTATGGGTAGGATTTGATTCGACACTCTTTTACCCTTTCAACTGCCGCTCAACTAGCGAAAACAAACTCACAGGACCGTCGTCCTACATGATATAATCCGAACCTCAACCTTTGCTTATTTCTTTTTATTCTTACCATTTGCGATGGCAGCGGGCCATAAGATCGTACCAGAGGATAGGGTCCTCCTCATCGGGGCGGCCGGGGTGGGCAAGAACTCTTTGATAGAGCAGGTGAGCGAATACCAAGCCAAGTACCAAGCTGGGGAGAGTCTCGAATACAAGAATGAGTCTTCTTGGGTTTGAGGGAAACTTCCACCGGGGGTTCATGGGAAACCAATGTCAGGGCTAACCCATCGCTGTTCCGCAGTTCTGCTACGGGCATGTAAGCGAAGACTACGACCCGTTCCGCGGCGAGGGCTGCCGGAAGGACATCACCCTCGACGGCGAGGACGGCGCGCTGGACCTCCTGGACGTCGAGTTCCGGGGGGACGGGATGCAGGGGGAGCACGACTTCCAGGGCGCCGACGCCGTGATGATGGTGTTCAGCGTGGCGTCGGTCGAGTCGCTGCGGTGCGCCATGGAGGCGTACGCGTGGCTGCGGTGGCAGACGATGAGGGCCGAGGGCCAGGTGCCCGTCGTGCTGGTGGGCAATATGTGTGATCTGGCGCGGTCGAGGGAGGTGTCGACCGAGACGGGGGCGCAGCTGGCGAGGGGGTTGGGGATGGACTATTATGAGACGTCGGCGTGGGATGCCACGGGTGTGGAGAGGGCGTTTCTTGGGCTGGCGAGGGCGGCGAGGCAGAGGAGGATACAGCAACGATTCCGACGGGAGAAGAAGGAGGCTGCCTCACGCCCTGGGTCCCAGGGGGATGAGGAGGAGGAGCTGTACGGAGAGCCAGCTCAGCTTATGCACATCCCTCCGTCCCAGGGCCATCGACTACGAGGCCACAGACTGCTGTCCTGGGGCAGGTCGAAGCTCAACCTCGGACGGCCCACGAGCCAGCTGTACATGGTCCGTGACGGCGAGAACCGCACGCAGAAGATCCAGGAGGGCCTGCTGGACGCGGCGCGGCGCAACGACGAGGATATGTTTGCGTGCTACCTGCGCGCCGCCAGCCACGACACAGACCCGGGCCCAAGACGGAGCGGCAGCAGCAGCGGGAGCGATAGCAGCTGCAGGAGCGTGGCCGCGGTGATGCACGTGGCGGCCGAGGCAGGCCACGGCCGGATCCTGGAGATGGCCATGGAGCACGGCAACGCTGACGAGGGCTGCATGCTGTTCGAGGTCAACACGCCAGATGCCGAGGGCACGCCGGCGCTGCAGCTGGCGGCGAAGCAGGGCCACAGCGAGATCGTGCGGCTGCTGCTGCGGAAGGGGGCCATGATCGACCAGACCAGTCCGCGGTACGGGACCGCGCTGAGCGCGGCGGCCATGTACCGACACGAGGAGGTGGTGGGCGTGCTCCTGGAGGAAGGGGCCAGCCTGGACGTGCGGAGCACGGTGTACGGCGATCTGGTCCAGGAGCTGGCGAGGATGAAGGACGGGCGGATAGCGGCGCACATGGAGTGGCAGGCGAGGAGGGAGAGGGAGTGCGAGGAGAGGGAGCGGGAGGCGGCGAGGAGGCGGGAGGAGGTGGCCCGGCTGGTGATGCGCGAGCTGCCGCCGCCGCCATGGCATATCAAGCTCGACCTGCCCAAGGAGTCGTTCGATGTCGACTTTGAGCGCATCGATCCGATGATTTGGTGATTAATATTCTATGAGCATATTCTATTGCGGCGGGGAGACTGGGGGGTGCTGGATGAATCGACCTGCCTCATGAGGTGGGACTGCATAACGCAAGATGGATGCACTGCGTCTTTCGCCATGCGGGTTTCGCGGGGAAGACAGGGGAGGCTCCCATCCTGATCAATGCGCAGCGGGCTCACATCCGGGCCTGCTGCGACATGTTTCTTTCGTCCCTTCTCGCTTGCAGAGGCGAGAATGGCCTCCCCCGGAATGATGCCGGCGGAGACGGAAGACCGATACGGAGAACGCAGCCGGTGGAAGGATTCACAGCTAGCGAAAAAAAATAGAACTAAGTGCCCGCTGATTCATTCGGTTGGGTGACGGAATGGCCGACTGACTAGCTAGTTCGCACGCCAGAGCCATCCCATTTACAGAAGGAGTTTGGAGCAGTCTGGATGCACGAGGAGGAGGGCGGAGGTGGGCTCACACAAAATCAGACGCAGGCCGGTGCTGGTGCTGCGGGGAAGCGACCAGAACGCTTCAGCTGAAATTGCAACACCCAATCTGACGACGAGACATATTTTGACATGCAACCACAGATGAAAGGTTGCTACGCTTGCATACGCGGGGGGGCCATGGGCGATTGGATGTCTGGGTGGACGGAGCTAAGGATGCTCCAACAATGAGAAATGTCGTATCATGATTTGTATTTTTTTCGGGCCATGTTGGTTTCTGGTGTCATTTCATTTTTCCTTCTCCTTTTCGTCCTGCCCTTCTCTTCTTTCGGCTCAGGGTACGGCCGCTGGCGGTGTGTTGGATGATATCATTCACTCTCGATTTAGAAAGTCTATGCAAATTCCCCTGTACATACATACACATTACCTACATAAACAAGATCAGATTCTGTTAACCGGGCCGTGTTGTTGCTTTCGATTCCATCCGTTCATCCGTTCTTGCCAGGGGGGCGAGCGTGAAACGAGATGCATAATGCTGCTTGTTCTTTGCGGAGCGGCCGTTGTCCCCCAACCCAAGGAAATCCGAGCTGATTCACGAGGTCGGTCCGCGCGCCTGGCTCGGCGTTACGAGTGAGGTGATGATTTGCGACTAGTAATAAGGTAGAGCAAAGCGCCCTAGTCAAGTGTCATTGAAATCGATGGGATGCCATCATTCTGGTTCCCCGCGTCCCATCTCAAGTAGTGCGGGCGACTCAAGTCCGCGTCCCCCAGCTCGCCCCCCTTTTTCTAGTGGAAAAGACTTGCGCTCGCTCGCTTTTGCGCTTTTTTAGACAGTCGTGGGGGGTTGGGATGCCTCCCCCTCCATTTCCATGAGGGTTGCTGCGCGCTGCTGAAGTGAGGAGAGCGTATATGTACGCATCGTGTTCCGGATCACACGCAGGCGAGCAATTGCGTCTGGGGATTCGGGGACATGGAAGACAGGGAAGGTTGGTTGTTACCCCAACTGGATCCTTCGTTGGCTGGCTGGCTGGCTACCTCTGCGCGCAGCAACGCAGCGGTGGCGAGCCAGGTCGAGTTGGGGAAGCGAGGTGCTGGCATCCACGGGCAGGGGTCGCGCTGGGCCTCTCCATTGAACCGATCGCGGGTTATTATTACGTGTCGAATGCACCCCAGAAATGGCTCACGATGCGCATCTTCTCTCGACAGGCAGCTCCAGCGCGTGCGGCCAATTGCGGTGAAATTGAGGGCACCGCCCAGCAGAAGGGCCCCGTCGCAGGCCAATAATCGTTATAACACCTCCGCATTATTGGTCGAGGGGCCCCTCCCTGGCGCATGGTACGGGCGCTATGGCCAGCGACGGCCAAACAGGTGAGCGCCCTCTTGCAGCACAGCAGCCCACAGGCCGTGTCCACAGCGCTCTCTCCACTGGTCGCCAGCGAGATCCTCCCCCCGCAACACCCTTTCTGGGAGGCCCCCTCTTCTCCACGGGGTCCCCAATCAGCTGCCCACTGTAATATTAAGCTTATCATTTTTCGCTGAGGCAGCCTGGAACCTGTTGCCCTCTACGCAATCCCCCCCCTTCGCTTTCGCTCCCCCCCCAGAGTCCCACACAAGTGGCCTCCTTCGCTCGCTCTCATTTTCTGAGCCCGTTGTTTCCCAAGGCCCAGACTTCCAGCTCCACCTCCCTAAAGAAAAAAACGCTCTGCTTGGCTTTCTTTGCCGGTGGAGGTGCATGCCCATGCCCCGCCCCCGGTTCCTCTCCTCGGACTTGGCTCACATCGGGTTACGGTGTTTCTTCGCAATCGCCCTCTCCTTATAGGGTCGCAGGGTATCGTCGTAGTTGTTGCGGTCGTAACACGTGCGAGTGTAACGTATATCCCAGGCCGGGCGACATGCCCGCTTAGCCCTCCATCACGAGGTCAAGGGGAGGGGGGGGGAAAGGCTAAACAGGGGGGATTTGGGTTTCCATCTCTTCTGCTCCATTTCCCCTTCAGACGTTGGAAGACGTAGATATATTGCACCGAGGAAAGCAGCACGGGAGGGGACGAATGGGGTGAGATAAAAAAAAAATTAGAGGCGCGATCTCTTGGGAATTTGTGGAAACGCCGGTCCCCATGCCAAAATCTCTCTGGTGCCGTTCCCTCAAGTCATTTCCCTTAGCTTACCCCATTTTCTGGCTCCCCGGTCCCTCTTTCCCCTAACGTAACCCAGACCCTCATATTCACCGCCCGTCATATTTTAGTCACCTTCTCCCCCCCAGATCACATCTCTGATTCATCGCACCTTTTGTCGCTCTCGAGAGAAAAAAGGTACAACGCCCCAGTCCGAGAGGCTGATTCGTAATCGCCGCTACCACAACAACCAACCCAAGAGAAGGAGGAACGAAGAGAAAAGGGAACAGAAAATAAAAACACCTCAACAACAACCCCGAATAATGTCGACCATCATGCCAGCGTCGGCACATTCACAGACGGGCTTTGAAATGGCCGCCACCGCCAGCCCCAACAGCTCCGGATCACAGTCCCCGCAGACGCAGCGGCGCGAGCTCGAGCTGCAGCGAAAGCGAGCCCGCGACCGCAAGTCCCAGCAGGCGATGCGAGACCGCACCAAGTGGACGATACACACCCTGGGCGAGCAGGTCGCCGTCCTGTCCACGGCCCTCGACCAGCGCACGCGGCAGCTGGCCAACGCCGAGTCGAAGCTGGCCTTTGCCGAGACCGAGAACACCCAGCTGCGCACCCAGAACGCCGCCCTGCAGCTGAGCCTGATGGGACGCAATGGCGAGGGCAGCGACGCGGACGGTCCCCCGCCTTCGTCTGTTGTCTCCTCCGCCGCCCATACTGTTGGCTCGGGGCCTGGAGGGTTTGGGTTTGGGTCGCTGCCCACGCCTGTGTGGGAGCTGTGCCCTAGGAACACTCCGCCGACCTGCCTGGCAGACCACATATTCCAGTCCTTCGTCGATGGGTCGCGCACGGGTGGGGCCCTCACGCCCTCGTCGTCCAACGAGGGCCGGAGCAGGAGTATCAGCGTCGGCGCCGGGAAGGCCAACCTTCGCCCGAGCCTGAGCTGTCTGATTGATCAGAAGAGCCACTCGGACGATGACGACATCCACGCCGTCGTGGCCGACGTGCTCAAGACATACAGGGAGATTGAGGGGCTGCCGGAACAGGTCGCCATATTCTCCAGCATCTCCATGCTGCTCAAGGTAAATTGGATCCATCCCTCTCTGTGTGCTGCGTTGCCGCTGAATCCGCGGCGGGTCTGCTGTGTTCCCACTACTAACATGTGAGATTTTCGTCTTGTTTTAGTGGATGGTCCTCCTCGACCAGCAGAGCTGGGGTCTCCTGCCAAATTGGCTTCGTCCCACTCATAATCAAATTAGGACCCCTCACGCTGCGTGGATCGACCGAGTGCCGTGGCCCCAGGCCCGCGAGTACCTGATCAAGCACCCAGAAATCGCGCTCGACGACTGGGCCGCCGTCTACAGCGCCGGGCTCAAGGTCAATTGGCCGTACGACCCCTCGACGGTGCTGCTGGGCGCGTCGGTCAATGCACTGGGCACCTCGGGCATCACCATCAACCCCGTCTTTGAGGAGCACCTCCGCCAACTCCGCCACTGGACCGTGGGCGACGGCTTCCGGAGACGCTTCCCTGACCTGGCCAGGATCATTGACCTGGACTGTGGGCCACTCCCAGCAACCATTGAATGCCCACCCATCCAGCAAATGTCGCCCACCAGCAGCATTAGCCTCCCTCATCCTTCGCCCAAGTGAAGCTAATCCCTGGGACGAGCCTTTCCTCATCTCGAGGACTGACTCACAGTGACTGTCGCCGCAAGTCATCCAATGACTCATTAGTCCGGGCGAAAAACGTTGAGGCAGGAGATCGGCAGTGGTGTGGAAAGAGCTGAATATCCGGTCGGAGGTCATTAACCGCTTCTCCGGCGCAACACATACCAACTCACGGCGGGATCCCCCCTCTCCTTAGAAGTTCGTCCAGGACCAGAAAGATGACATCCACTCTGGTCTAGCGTATCATCCCCCAGGAAATGCCACCAGCGCCATTTCCGCCGCCAAGTTAACTTCCGTCCTCGGTTGTCGCTTGGCGAGCATGTGCCGGATAAGGATTACCGCAACGACTGTTGATGGGAATAAAGGGCCATGCCCAAATCCAATTGATAGCGATGGCCCTACCAGAATAATTAGAAACTCTCAAAAGGAGGGAAAACGCGATAGCTATACCGGATCCTTTTTCTAGTCCGAGGTGTGTCGTCATTTAATCATGTCTGCAGCCCAGTTCCAAGGCAAGGTCATTGCCCTCACTGGCGCCGCCCAGGGTATGGGGCTGGCAACAGCCATCCTGCTCGCATCCCGCGGCGCGTCCCTCAGCATCGCCGACATCCAGGCTTCGACGCTCGACGGCGCCAAGGAGAAGATCCAGTCGGAGGTCCCCGGGGCGCAGGTGCACACATTTGCCCTTGATGTTCGTAAGGAAGAGGCCGTGGAGGCGTGGATAAAGGAGGCGGTGGCCAAGTATGGACGGCTGGACGGAGCGGCGAACCTGGCGGGGGTGGTGCCCAAGACGATCCACAGCGACTCCGGGTCCGTGGAGAAGATGAGCGCGGACGACTGGGACTTCATCATGGACGTCAACGCCAAGGGGCTGATGTTCTGCATGAAGTATCAACTGCAGCAACTGGGCGAGGGTGGCAGCGTCGTCAATGTCAGCTCCATCGCGGGCGTGACGGGTCGGTCAAACAACGGCTCGTATGCGGCGAGCAAGCACGCGGTCATCGGGCTGACCAAGTCTGCGGCGAAGGAGGTTGGGCCTCGAGGAGTGCGCGTGAATGCAATCTGCCCGTATGTTGTTCCCCTTTTCTGTGTTTGATGTGTTGTGTTGTGTTGTGTTATTGCCCTTGCCCCTTTCTTTGCCTTCATAAAGACCCTCCCTTGGCCTTGACCCCCTGCTGCGAGACAGTCATTGAGAGACGAATACTGACCTTGATAACTTGCACAGTGGCCGAATCGCGACACCAATGCTTGCTCAGGCTGCCGAGGCGGCTGGGAGAAGCAACAGCAACACGGAGGCGGAGAGGGAGTTGAATCAGGAGATCTCGCTGCGGCGCGTCGGGCAACCGGAGGAGGTGGCCACGCTGATTGCGTTCCTGCTAAGCAGCGATGCGTCGTACATCAGCGGAGCATCCATCGGGATAGACGGGGGCTGGAACTGCTAGGCAGATAGAGAAATAAAGATGACAATTCCAGGAGAAACAGGGTGTCAGGTGCCGAGATGAGGTGGTTTCGAGGTGGAAAAGTCACACAACAGGTGCATTCGATGAGCCGAGAGAGTGGGTATCCGCCCTCAGGGATACCCGAAAATGGGCGGCCAGGTGGGTTTTGCACTGAGGGCCAAGCCTACCCTGGAATGAATTGCGCTCGTCCGGTGGTTCTTTATTTCTTTATGGGCTTATTTATTACTTGTTTTCAATAGAGGCTTGGAGTTGAGAGTGCCCTCTTGCTTTTCCTTTTTCTACGCACCCTGTTGGGTTGTGTCTGTATCTGTGTGCATCCATCCATTGGCCAATCATGGCGCGAGACGACTACAGTGTGTACAGGATGACAGATTGCTTGTCTCATTGCACCCTTGGCTCAGCATTATTGTCTTGACCATTGTGAAGATTACATATCCATTGCAATTGGGAATCGAAGAGTTCATCCACGGGACGCAGCCCAGACCGGCTGCTCGGGGTTGGCTCGGAGTTTGGTGGTGTGCTTTTGGGCTCGTCGTGGCCGTCGAGAGCTGCAGAAGCGGGCTGGTGCTACACTGAATCACAACGGAATGACGTAGGAATCGGCCCAACCGCGACAGGTGATGCGGCAGCTGGACCGAAGATGCTGCAGCTCGAGGTCGCTTCCCAAAGCGGGTGCAGCGGAGAGCGCCAATTCCCGCCTCCTCAATCACACAGACAGCTCAATACATTACATCTTGAAGGCATCTGCACATCTCCCATCTCGAAAATCAACGATAATACCTAAATCAACCGCAGCCTCGCAGAACACGCAACCATGGGCTCCCTCACCAAGCTCCTCCTCGCATCCGACGCCGCCTCCTACAAGCGCGCAACCCAGTCGCCCTTCCTCGCCGCCGCCGCCGCGGGCACGCTCACCAAGCCCCTCCTCTCGCAGTGGCTGGCCAACGACCGCCTCTACATCCACGCCTACATCCACGGGCTCGGCCTGCTACTCAGCTCCCTGCAGCTCCCCGTGCTGAGCAAGCCGTCGACCCCGGCCAACGAGCTCGTCGTCAAGCTGCTCGACTGGGCCGTCGACGCCCTCGTCAACATCCGCCGCGAGGAGAGGCTGTTCCTCGACGCGGCCGCGCGCTTCGGGCTCGACGTCGACCTGCCCACGCAGGGGGGCGACATCGCCGACGGGGCCAAGATCGAGGGCCTGCGCCGCTTCGAGGCGCTGTTCGCGTCCGTCGGGCACTCGGGCAACATCATCCTGCCGTGGCTCGAGTCGGCGCTGCTGTTCTACGCCACCGAGAGGTGCTACCTGGATGCGTGGGCGGGGGTCAGGGCGCGGATGGGACCTGCCGCGCAGGGGGGGGACGCGGACGGCGGGGCGCTGAGGGACGAGTTCATACCCAACTGGACGGGCGGGGAGTTCGTGGCGTTTGTGGACAGGCTGGGCGCCATTGTGGACGATGCGGTCGCGCTCGAGGTGAGCTTGCACGGGGAGGGGATCAAGGGGAAGCTGCTGAGCAGGGCGCAGGAGCTGTGGAGGGAGGTGCTTGCGGCGGAGGAGACGTTTTGGCCGAGGGTGTGATGGGGGGGTCTTTGGTTGGGATTTGTGGAATATCAGGATGATGTCTTGTGGTAATGAATAATTTGCATGGTTATGAAAATTTATATTTGCCTTCTAAAGAAATCCGTTCGGCTTGGGTTTAATGCGTCTACTGAGGTGTTTTCCATGATGGTGAGCATGCCGGTCGTATGATGCCATCTTGCCTTGGTTAGAGTTGATGACGGAGATTTCTTCACATCCCGACTGGCTGAAGGACAGAAGCTAGTTCATCAGCCGTGAATAGCCCTTGAATGATTCAGCACAGACAAGATGGATGCATTTATAATTGAATGACTGACTCTTGCTTGAAGACCCTCGACCTGGAGTCTAGGGTAGCTTGTGAATGCGGGGCTTCGGCGAAAAGAGGGGCTGAGGGGCAATTGAATTGCGGCGAAATTCCGCGCGGCGGCCTTCAGGGTAAAAATCTGGGGAAGCGGCCTCGGATTGGCCGGACTGGGCCTTGGGTTTCCGATTCCGATCGGTTGGACTCGGCACATGGCCGCTGTCATGGAGAGAATTACATATGCAGGTATGATGTTATCTTGAGAGCTCCATCTCGTGCGGGCGATGAGATGGGTTGATTGGCGAGATCGGTCGAGAGATGCCCTGCCTTTTCTGATTCAGATTTGTTATCACTGCGTGACCCCTCCCCCTCTATATCCCTTCTCTCGCATCTCACCTCTGCACCTCCGTCTTCATTCATTTCATTGATCACCACTTGTTACTTCTGCCCATCATGGCATCCTCCTGGCTCAACATCGCCGCTGATGCGCCCTTCTCGCTGGCCAACATCCCCTTTGGCGTCATTTCCACCAAGCGAGATCCCACCCCGCGTCCCGCCGTTGCCATCGGGGACTATGCGCTTGATCTCAAGGCCTTCAGCTCCTCCAACGGCTTCTCAGAGCACGCCGAGATCCACCAGTACAGGTCCGTCTTCGCCGAGAAGACCCTGAACGCCTTCGCCGCCCTCGGCAGGCCCTTCCACAGGGCCACGCGCGCGTACATCCAGGAGCTGTTCAAGAGCGACACCAAGTACGCCGCCTTCCTCAAGGACAACGTCCAGTTCCGGGACGCGGCCCTCGTGCCCCTCGCGGACGTGACCAGCCACGTTCCCCTCGCCATCGGCGACTACACGGATTTCTACGCCGGCAAGAACCACGCCTACAACGTCGGCTGCCTCTTCCGCGGGCCCGCCAACGCCCTCCAGCCAAACTACACCCACCTGCCCGTCGCCTACCACGGCCGCGCCAGCAGCGTCGTCGTCTCGGGCACCCCCATCCGCCGGCCCTGGGGCCAGGTCCTGCGCGACCCCAAGGCCGAGCCCAAGGTCCCCGCGCTGGCGCCGTGCGAGAAGCTGGACCTCGAGCTCGAGCTCGGCATGTTCATCTGCCGGTCCAACGAGATGGGCTCCCCCGTGCCCGTCAACGACGCCGAGGAGCACATCTTCGGGTACGTGCTCATGAACGACTGGAGCGCGAGGGACATCCAGGCGTGGGAGTACATCCCGCTCGGCCCGTTCACGTCCAAGAACCTGGGGACGAGCATCAGTCCCTGGGTCGTGCTGGCGGATGCCGTCCCCAAGAAGGCGGGGATCAAGAATGATAACGAGCTGCTGCCGTATCTCAAGGAGGATCTGAAGGAGAATGTGCTGAATATCCATCTGGAGGTTGATATTGCAAGTAAGTATATCTCTAACTAGCCAAAGGTCAAAAACTACTTGCTAACATGTCTCTTTCGCAGCTGCCGGTGGCTCCAAGAAGACCGTCTCCAAGACCAATTCGAGCAACCTGCTCTGGTCCTGGCCGCAGATGATTGCCCACCACACCATCACAGGCTGCAACCTCCAGACGGGCGACCTGCTCGGCTCGGGCACCATCTCCGGCACTGAGTCGGGCACCGAGGGCAGTCTGCTAGAAATCACCGGGGGCGGCAAGGCCAGCATCCAGGTCGGCGGCGACGAGCGCAAGTTCTTGCAGGACGGGGACACGCTGGTGATTCGGGGTTGGGCTGGAGAGGACGGAGCGAGGATCGGGTTTGGCGAGGTGTCTGGCACCATCCAGGCTGCCCTCCCGTTATTTTAAAGCTGGTGGAAATCTCAAAATGAAAGATGAAATGTGCAGTGCGCGTACAATTTGAATGCGTATGAGTTTGAATGAGTTTTATTCGTAGATTTGATTGGTAGTCTCCTATTGACAATCCGCTATCTGGCAGGTAATCGAAATACAAATTGGAAAAAACACATTGAATTGAACAACACAAGTAAACAACATGATGGCATTCAAGCACGTAGATTCTCAGGCGTATCAACCTGCTTGAAATACGACGCCTTCTGCATCGCCGGCTCCCCCTCCAGGTTCCTCACCACCCTGCCGACGACAGGGAACTCGGCCAGGTCGACCCCGAACCGCTGCGCATTCCACGCCGCCGGCAGCAGGCACAGGTCCGCGACCGAGACGTCGTCGCCGTACGAGAACCGCCCGGCGTACGGCGCGCTGACGGCCTCGTAGGCGCGCAGGCCCTCGGCCATGAGGGACCTGTTCCAGTCCTCGGCGCTGCCGCCCAGCTCGCGCACGCGGCGCATGATGCGCAGGTTCGTCACGGGCTGCGTGTCGGCCGCTATGATGTTGGCGAGGGCGCGGACGATGGCGCGGGCCCTGACGTCCCCGGGGAGGAGGCGGGTGGTGTCTGGGTAGGCCTCCTCGAGGTACTCGAGGGCGGCGAGGGACTGGCCGATGCGGAAGGGGACGCCTGTGCCTTGGTCTGGGACGCTGGGCTTGGGGACTAGGAGGGGGACCGAGGCCGAGGGGTTGATGGCGCGGTGCTCCTCTGAGAGCTGGTCGCCCTTGAGGAGGTTGACGGGGACGTAGTCGTAGGGGATGCCCTTGATGTCGAGGGACATACGGACGCGGGCTGAGCAGCTGGAGCGGAAGTAGCTGTAGAGTGTGATGTCTGACATGGCTGGTGTTTTGTCCTGGGGCTGACTGAGGTGGATGGATGAGATGCTGTTTGCAGGAGAGGGAGAAAGGTGCTTTTTTCTTGTGGTAAGACAGAACTCAGGGCCTCATCACAAGGAGTGGGCTCGGCCCAAATGGCAATCAACTACATGACATGACATAGCTATAAGGAGCTCTCCTGTCCGTGTCTTTGCAAAGGCGCGGGGAGCTTGAAGCCGGTGTGGGGAAAGACTGCGGAATTGCTCGAGGCGAATCCGGAGCCGATCCCCGACGATACCCGCAGCCGCGTGATTGGCGTGGAGAGCAAGAGCTTGCCAGTTAATGGCCAGTGGGCTTACTGAAGATGGAGAGGAGCAGTAGGTGCCCCATTCACGCCTGCATCGATGTTCTTGTCATGGTGTTGATCTGCCGTTGAGTGTCGTCAGACCAGTGATGGCTCTCATTGTGTGTTATATCCCCATCGCTGCAGGAAGAGGAGGTGAATATTTGATTGGATTAATTCTTTCAGCGACAGGAACAATGAACATTAAGGTAGAGCAGAGCCATGGCGTCATGGTCGTCTCACTAGCCAGTGTGACGGCCATCGCCCCGAATTCTAAACGTCATTGCTTGATCAGAGAGGAGAGGAGCTCAAATAAAGCGAAGATTCTCCCCCTCAGATGCTTTTTGCCTGGAACTGACCCTTTCCCCCAAAAATACCGATCCATAGTAAGAAGCGCACTGACGTTGCGTCGAAATACATCAGACCAACAATCAAACATTGAGTAGCACTAAGATGGGTGTTCACAACATCAAATCGTAAGTCGATGCTTTCTTTCCCAGGCCGCCTTGGCTAGTCTCAAGTGCTTATTCGGCCGACGGCATAGCAAGGAGGATTTTGAACAGACCCTCCACAAGCACAGGGCTGTCGCTGTCGACTTCTACGCCACTTGGTACACCCCGTGCAAGGCCATCGCTCCCGCCTTTGTCGAGTGAGTCACTCCTCCGAGTCTGATCCCTCTCCCATTTAGCCCTTTGTGAAATCGATTGGCGTGGCCTGACCAAATCATGACGTCAACTGCGCAGGTGTTCCGAGCAAGACAGGTTCAAGGACGTTCGCTTCCTCAAGGTTGATATTGACCAGCTCCCCGAGCTCGCCGCAGACATGGGCGTCCGTGAAATGCCCGCCTTCAAGCTATTCCTTGACGATAAACCCGCCGGCGATCTGGTTGGGGCTGATAAGGATGGGCTCGTTCGCTTGCTGGAGAAGGCTGTCTGAGGTCCTCGCAATCAAGCAGCGCCAGTTGGGAGAGCTGATGGATGAGAATTGACCCTTGTGATTGCTCGTTACGCGACTTTGAGTCTTCCCGGGATTGAGTTTTGGGATATTATAATGAAAAGAACTACTGTTTCGCACAGAGAGGGCCATGAAATGACCTTGAAAATAAGGTCATTTATGCTTGTCGGCGAAAGTCGTCGAAACGATTATGAATGAATGTTATTTGCTGTACGTAGCCTCAATGTTATCAGAGAAGCCGAGATGCCTCCATTTTTGCCTCTTCAATTATACGCGTTGCCCGTAGATGATTGCCTTCCTAACCTAATCAGAGACGAGCCAACTGGCTTCTAGTACTCATCCAAATCGTCAAACACGTCCATGACTAGTACTTGCTGTTCTGCCTTCTTCGCCCAAGGCGTCTATCAACCTTCTTGTCTACAAGAGGTCGCGCGAGGCTTCTAATAGGCGCATGGATTGCATACAACAGAGCGATCAATCCGTTGCCGTCATGGCGATTGGCTGCGGACGCAACATTGATACGTTGAGGCACGATGCCCATTTGGCCCGTGGATTGTACCCAGAAGGGCGTTTCTCTGTCCAGCTTGGCTCCATCTATTTGGGCGCCGTTCTCATTCAGCATGTGCACGACTCCTTCGCTGGTGCTGCTCGCTGCAATGGTAAGAGGCCAGCTGTATTCACTGCCGTAGTATTCAGTATCCATCTTCCTCGGATGCTATGGATGGCTAGTGACCTCACCATATCGAGGTCCATGTTCATCTTCACCCACGATTGAGGTGTGAACCGGCAGAGGTCGTAATCTAGGGTCGTATCAAATGAATTCCTCCTTCAAACCAGCGCATTGATGGCAGATTAGTGCCTACTCCTTGTGTGCAAGCTAGAAGTAACGATTCTATGGTTCTAAGGATGCGAGTAGCAGGATACGTGCCGGAAGAGGTCATTCTGCTTCAATCCAGCCTCGTACTCGGCACCACAGCGCATTACTCCTGTGAAGAAGGACAGGTGTGCCAAATGAGTCTTTGCTATGCGCGCGCAGCCGTTCTTGATCCAATCCTCGGGCATCTGGGAGAGAAACTCACATTCGGCGCGATGGGGCTTCACAGACTGGGTCGCCTCCTCAATTGAGACAAATCTCTTGCAGGCTTGAACGACATCTCCATTAGCTAGAGCATATGCCATGTCATAATTCGCTGTTCTTGTCTCTATTGAGAGTACTTCCCGGAGTTCATGAATGGTGAGATACCTTTCCTTGTGAGGAAGACTCAGAGCAGAGCTTGATGGGCGCAGTCACTATGCCCACTGCCTGAGCAATCGACCTGATCGAGCAGATGGCTATATCTCTCGTTGCAGGTCGCCTTCTCTTTTTGGTGCGTTTGATGTACGGCCTCATGAAAAGCTTCAGTCGAGGGCATACTTGACAGGCAGTCGAGCTGAAGCTGGAGAAGCAGGAACTGTAGATGCCCAATCTTTGCAATGTGTCTCCTTGTCCTCGATGCTGCTGAGCATCTCAACCTTTGACCGGGCTCAAATAGGTCAGCAGAAATGCCCCGAACTCGCCTAGATGTCGGCAACATATTGATCCTAGACTACTTCTACTTTTTATTTCCTTTTGTCTCCGGATTCATTCGGTCGCTTCCAAACGAGAGTTGTCGCCTTTCATGAAGCGCGTCAATGGGCGCGTAAACTTGGGAAATTGTGACACGACAGGCTGCGGCGCGTTGGCCTGGTTTTCCAATGAAGGTCTTTCCCGCTCTTCTTGATGATACTCCCAGGTTTTCTGAAGTCCACGGGGCGGCCTGTTACCTGTCGCCGTCTGTCACCATTGCGCCTTCAGTTGTCGTAGAAGGGACGCCTACGCATCAGACAGCTTCTGCTCTCCTGTTCGCCGATGGCCGAGATCATGGACTGGCCAGTCCCAGTGTGACGCTAACTAAGGATTTCATGATTTTTCTGAGCCATATTCAATCAATGTGATCCAATCTTGGATGAAGGCAGTCCGTGCCGTTTTCCTCAGCTTTCTTGTACACCCACGTCCATTTTCTCCCCAGTTCGAATACCATTTCTCTTGGAAGAGAAACCTAGATTAGTTTTTAAGGCTCTCGGTAAAGCTGTTCAAGATCTCACAGGCATCCGACAGGCTCGAGGCGGCTCTATGCATCCCGTACGGATTGAGGCTCACTTATCCAGGTGCTCTCGATGGTGTCGCTCTACGACGCTCATATGTATGAACATAGATTTCCTTCTGTAGAGCACGATATATGTCTAGAAGTATGAAAAAGTCTTATTTCACGATGCACTTTTCAGTGTAAAGCAAACTCCGAGCTCTCTTAAAACTACCATTGGCTGTCTGTCTCGTTCTCGCAGATGCCTTCTCACGCCACGCCCACCCTCTGGGGTTCTCTCCCCTTCATCTACTCTGTTTACAAGATCTTAGATACTAGAGACCCCTAGAGAGTCGGAAATGTCACAAAGGGCTGGAGAGCGGTGGTCAAAATGCGGCTCTTGAAGGCGTAACTGGGTCTAGGGTGTGGGGAACGAGAAAGTCTCCGACATGGCCGTCAGCGGATATACGTTGATCCCCCCGGCTGCCTCAAAGCCTCGATCCGATTTCCGATTGATGATCCTGATCCGTAATCACGATTTAAACTCCTAGATTAGATGAAATATGCTTATATTTGCTACTGGGATATGGATCTGACATTAAAGGAAAAATATGGGCGCATGGGAGGGCACAAGGCCATCCGCAATGCGGAGCACCACAGCCGACTCATCAAATATCCAGATAGAGGTCGGTATACAAGTGGTTGGGTTAAAGAAAAATTTAATGAGAAAAATGATGGGAGAAGAGGAATTCCAATTTCTTCTCAGTAGAATACATAGCTCGAATTGAAGCCTTGGAAAGGAACCACAAATGTCCCGACATCCATAACTGAAGGCTTCATTCATCTACGAAGTAGAAAAAGTATGCTGCTCTCTTAGTCGTGATGCAATGTACAAATTCCAGTATTACGATGTACGTAAGCAAATAAGCAGGGTGACAAGAAGAAATGAGAGAGCGAGGGAACCTGCAAAAGCAAACCAAACAGCGGACGACAGACTATCCTTCATCTCATGACGCGGCCGGCCGTCTGGCCGGCTCATCTTGATTCAGCAACCCGTTCAAATCAAATATCATCTGATAAACATGGCCCCTAGGCGGCTCTGGTCGGCTGAGACGTCGGAGGTATCAGCTCATGCACACTCTGCATAGTACATACCTACATTGCAGCACGGCGTGCGGTGGCTTTTGTGGTTTTGACACAGTCTCATTCCGTACCGGGTTCTCAGAAAAAGGCAAATTACTATACGAACGCCCTGTAAGACAAGGGATCTCCGAAGAATTTCGGGGATCTCAGAAATAGTGAGCATGTTTATCTCGTGTTGACCTCCTCAGCCTTATTCGCACTTTGGCTCCGAGCATCGGGATGGCGCCCAGATAGTACGGATTTCACGGCTGAGATGACACCCCCCTTCCCTAGAGGCTAGCAGCAGATGCAGTGAGTGAGCAAATATTTGTGAAAAGGAAAACTCCCACCGACAAATTAATCTGCATGTCTCGGGCTAACCCTCAGCCAGCTCTTGGTCTAGAATTTTCTGGCAAACGAACCAAATTTTTTTGAGAATGGACGGAACTTTTTAAGAATGGAGGAAAGCTCTAACACTATTCTCGAAGAAAACCGTTATTTCATGCAATAATCTGTGTGCTCAGGGCACCTGCAACAGCCTGTAGCCCACACGTATATACACCTAACCAGCCACACGGGCTGAATGCCACCCAGAAAAGATTCACGAGACTGCCCACTTCAATCTCCTACATTCTTTCGTGGAATAACCTCGTGGAGCATATTTTCTCAAGTAGGGCCTTCGTCACATTATTCCGTCACATTATTCCTCGTGCTGGGAAAGCCCGCTGCCTCGGCTGCCCATATTCTTGTTTCATGTGAACGCTGAAGTATCTTTTGAGAAAAAGAAAGCAAAGGAACATACGGGAATGTACCCGAATGTCGCGGTACATTCATGACTCCTGGATGCCCTGCCATCCACTACATTGAAAAGCCACCCAGGGGCAGGCCGGTGAGACAGCATGCCGCTCGGTTCTTGTTGGGCTGTTGATGAGCCAATTATCAGGTTTCTTTTTTCCTCTTGCCCTTAGTTAATAGAAAACAGTCACAGGATTGGAACCGGAAATTTGCTTTGTGCCTTATCCTGGAACGCCGACATGCAATAATGAACTCTATGCACACGGGTGAGAACGCACAGCCTAATGGCGCACCCCAACAAAAAAAAAGTCAAGTGGCGAGTATAAGCTTCTTTATTGGTCCAAAAAGAAAGTCTTCCAGCACGGTTGCGAGAGCCGGACAGGGGAGAAAATGATCAATTTGTGTCGTCATAAATAATATAACAATAAGAGAATAGATAAAGCAAGAAAAAAAGTAAACATGATTCGTCCTTTCCCTTGCACGAAAAGGCTAAGCTTACAAAATGGAATTTGTCAATTTGTGTTCATACCACGGCACTCCGCCCCTTTAATCAGTATCGTGTAGAGGCTCACCCGCGCCTCACACCTTTGGCGAGCCGTCTCCATTTCCAGCCGTTAAAAAAGGGGGGTTGGTACCGTTCTTCTTCCCCATATGCGTCGTGCTTGAAGCATCCGAATTTCTTCTGTTGCTGGTTCTTGTCTCCTTCCGTTTCGTCTCTTCGCGCCTGAATTCATTCATGGCTGGCCTGACCTGCACCCAGGTCAAGAATTGGGAAGGATATATTGTCTCCTCAGAGGTCGAGAACTCTGGCCAGATATGGTACACCGCCTCTTCAGAAGACGGAGCGGGTGAGTCAGGCGAAGCTCTTGTCTGGTTTTGGATGCCTGGGCTCTTGGTCTTGGATGGACCTCCTTTGTTTAGCCCATCACCTTTCCTGGAAGCCTCTCTGGCCGCCTGAGTCTTCGATGGAGACTCTGGCAAATTGAGGCCTTCTTCTGTCGGTGTCATAGTTGGCTTAAAGTTCGCAATGACAAGCTCTGTCAGGTGCTGAACCGAGCTCCATACATCCAATGCATCGATGCAGACCTTTTCTGTTTCTCTTTCACATTCTCCGAACAATAGAGGAGGGACAAGCGGCCTAATGGACTTCAAAACTTCCTGAGCGGCTTTCTTGGCACGAGATTGGCCACATTTCTTGTCCTGTATTTGCAATAGCACTGAACGTACATGCACCTCTTGATCTCGATTTTCAATCTTGGTAAGAAGTCTCGCTGCTTCGTCCTGATCTTCGCTGATGTAAATGGGCTGAAAGACATGTTTAGTGAGCGCGTAAGCGAGAACAGACAGTCCTACGGCAAAGCGCATGTGCTTTGCAGGTACTGTGTTGGACATGGGAAGGGGAAGGCTGGAGCTGTATAGAACAGCCTCCCTCATCCTGCTCCAGTCATTCGATGTGACGTCGGTCATGTCGATGTCTTGGAAGAGGAATCTTGCAGCTAAGCCATAGGCTAGATTGAAGATTCTTTCCAGTTCAGCATGGCTGTATTTCCGGTTCAGTTAAGTTTCCATTAGCTCATAAAGAGGAATGATTGAATGTCACTCACAACGTGTCCCTCTTTACTTCATCATACTCATCCATGATGGCACTGAAGGACGTGAGACGATCCAGTTCATCTTGTACATTCTGCTTCTCGAATTCTTCTCTTCGGAGTAGCCCTTGTAACTTCGTCCCCTTTTCTATCTCTCCTTTAGCTTCTTCCAACCCCTTATCCAGTGCCTCTATCTGTTTCTGGAGCTTGTTGCTCTTAATCAAGAGGCTATTCTGCTTTTCTGAGGCCTCGTGAGATTTTTGGCGAAACTTATCACGATCGTCCTTCATTTCCTGGAGTTTTCCGTCCGAAGCCGCCTTTTCAGCCTTCAAGGAGTTGAGAGCATCCTTGGTTGACTCTAGCTCGGCTTCCGAGGCGTTTAGTTGCTTCAAATTGACTTTGTACGCACCGTGTTTCTCGTCATATTTCTGCTGCAAATCCTGGTTATCTTTCCAGAGCCCCTGCAGGTGGCGGAAACCACCGTGAGAGGCGGTCTGGATCAGCAATGAGGTGAATTCGTTGATTGTGCTCTCCGCACTTGCTCCATTGGTGAGCAGTTGTGCCTGCGGAGGCCTCTGTGGTTGTTGTAGCTTAGGCATAGTATGAGAGACACTGTTGGTTGCTAGATATAATATATTGACTGAATGCTAGAGGCTGGTTGAATGATTTTTTTCTATGGAATATTGAGGAGCGAAACCAGACATTTATCTAAATCTCCCCCCTATCTTTTTGAAAGCTTTCTCTCATTTCAACAGGAAATAACGAACATTTAGTTAATGGTGGGTGGTTTTCCATACAGCAAACGGTTTGGGGTTGAGTCATTGGCTGGACATTATGCTGTTGGTTCGAACATGCGGCCACTTTGTGGGACCGGATCAAGTTCGCCTCACTCCAACCCCAATCTCGGTCTGGGGTGAGGATTTGATCTCTTTTACTTGGTCATGACGTGTCGATGAACTCGTCTCCAAAACATCCCACGACACCAACTGGCATTGGGCTGGTCGCCTCACGGCTTATCAAGCGGTTCCGAGCGTCCACAAAACCGACCCAGATTTCATCTGTGAAGAAAAATCGCGTCATGACTGAACCGTAACCAATCTTGAGCAGCCACGACATTAAAGAAAGTGGTTGAAATCCCACGCTGGGGTCGGATATGAACGGTTTGGGGAGCATATATCTGCAGCCATATTTCTCAATGGGAAGGGATGCAGGTGAACTAAGCGACCCCCCAACAGGTCTCCCGCATGAGGGTGGTATCCATATGCAGGAGGCCTACCAATCTACCCAGCTTGTCGAATCACCCTTTCGAAAGGAGAACGGTGGAAAGAGACGATCGTTGTGCCAAGCAGGCAGCTATCCGTGAGGCAACAATGTGTTGGCATTTGCATGGCCGAGATGGTGGGCAGCTTCGGTTTGCCCATTTTATCTATTTCGCCAATGAATCTCTTGTTACAGAGCCATTTCAAGCGGGGAGCCTAATCAGGTCGCGTCGTTTTAGTCGTTTGCCTTATTGCCGGAGTGGTGTGATAGGATTTAAGGCTCTCTCAGGCTTCGTCGGATACAGAGAAGTGGGCTAGTATATGCCATTGTGTGGTTGTGTTGCGCAGGTTGGGCATCAGAAGCAGTGTTTTTGTCCCCTTTTCGCTCTCTCGTACGACCGCAAGCGACAATAGGAGTAGAAATGTGCTGCCGCGGTGTCCGAAGAGGGCTCGATGTGCGTAAAACCCTATTTCGTGGTTGGTCGGTCGGATGGTATCACTATGTCGGGGCTTTGTCGAGTTGCGGTAGACATGTGTTTTCATTTGGATACATGTAGATCAGAACCTTCAGGGTTGTTAGCGTATCAACCTGTGGTAGGGCTCTCACAGGGCAGATGACGGCTCGCTGCGATGATCTGTCTCGGGATTGATGCCGCCATTCCCCCGTCGGGATAGGTCGATGAAGGGGGAAGGAGGAAGTAGGAGGGGGTTGGCAGGTGCCAAAGTTGGACTCTCCAGCTTCGGATAACTCAGTACCAGTGAAATGGACAGAGGTGGAAGACAGAAGGGGAAAGAGTGAAGGAGAAAGAGTGAGCCCTTCTGGCACCCCGGCTCAGCTACTGCGTGTCCTGCATAAGGGCTAGGGACCGAGCGCCGGCTGGGCATCTTTCCGCACAAATTCACCTACTCATTCGTACCAATATGAGCGTAAGACATTGGCAGAGATCAATTGGATCTGGGAGGTAGAGGGTATGTAGGTGCGACGGTGCCCTCAGGCGGCGGCAGCAGGTAATTTCCGTGAGTCCAGTGCTCTTGCCTTCATCCCCCCGAGCAGAGGCAAGGCAGGCGCCACCCAGTAAGCAGTAACCGTGCATCTCAGGTTAACAGGAGCTCAGGCAGTAAGTCAGCAAGGTGAGGCGGTAGTACTAAGGCTATCATTATGCACGCTTGGTCTCGGGTATCTACTCTGAACAGCGAAAGCAGGTAAACAACACAATTCCCTTCTCTTCCCCCATCTCATTACCTGGGAATCCACAATCCACCATTGCCATACATCTTGTCTCTCATCGCCCCGACTTCGCTCCGCACACCGACCCAGTGCAGAGGTATCCTGTCGACCTTGCCCTGCACTGACCCCGTAACCCCGTCCAGCCTCTCCGCCAATGTCCGATCCCGCCTGCTGGCCTCCTCGATGTTCCAGTTCTCTCGTCCTAGGCTCGCCATCACGACCATTGTGTCCACCTCGTGCTGGTCGAGCACCTCCGATGGCGACAACTCTCTCTCTAATGGCGGGTGAAGGTACCCCATCAATACCACACGCAACTTCGCGTCCGCAAACGAAGCCCCGTCAAAGTCGTGGAGAAGGTGGACAGCTATCCTGTTCTTCACCACCACCTCGGGGGGCCCGTACCGCAACGGCCCGATCGTCACGATAGCTTCGTGCCAGTCTCGGGAGATGTCACCCATGCTTTTGGGCACACAAACACAAGCCCATGCTGCAAACACGCCTCTCATGCGCATCTTGACCTCGTCTCTCACGTCGTGGACGTTGGCTGTCGGTATCGCCAGCTCTCTCGTCGACCGTCCACTTGCTTTGCCTACTCTACCCTCGAAGCTTACAGGGAATGGGGCCTCAGGGCCTTCGTCCGGCCCGACAAGACTCGTCACCGACTCGAATACCGCGGCTTCGTACCGTCCATCCTTGCCTCGCTCCCAGCTCTCGACAACAGCCGAGTCCATACCCGTCGTCTGCACCACCTGCTTTCCCGTAGAGAACGCCTTTTTTGCGTTGTTCATCGCTGCGCTCGACACTTTCTTGGTCACAGTGGACGTCGCCCGGTTCTGAACCACGAGCGCCGCTGCTCCTGCATATCGCTTGGCGACCTGCTGCCCGACAGTGCTGGCCACCTTGACGCCCACCTCGAGCGGCATTGTCTTCAGGCTTGCCCCTCTCACCACGCTAATCTCGGTCGTCGTGCTTGCAACTCGGAACACCGGGCTGCCGCAGAGCGTCTTCTTCCCCCCTTCCCCGGAGCACAGCACAAGCCTAAAGTAACCATCTACTGCTGCTGCGGGTATGCGGATGACGTGTGTCTCGACGGGGACATGCTTCTTCAGTCGCCCCGATGCTTTCTTCACAAACCTCTTCAAGTCCCGCTGGATGCTCCTCTCATCTACAGAGGGGATATGCTCGGGTGCGGCCCTTGTCGCTGGCGTCACATCCAGCCAGTCTCCCTTGGTGCCCATCAACGCCTTGAGACTCATTCCCATATTCCCCGAGTAGCCTTTCTGCTGAAGCCACACTGTCCGGTCCAGAGGTAAGTCCATGTCTGACAAGATGGTGATGGCTATGCTGGTGGCCGGGCCACTGTACCAAACCAGTGCTCCCGAGTGACGAATAATGCTGTAATGCCGCGTTGACTCAGCTGGGTGGCTGATTAAGCCACCGGCAAAGTATTGCGCCTCCCCAAGGGCGGCCTTCAACTTCTCCTGTACGGTGAGACCCTCCGTGACTGTGCTGGCTTCTGAGCCAAACGACGCTGACAGAGCAGAAGAGCTCTTGGCCCGCCGTATCTCTGGCGTTGTGGGCGTCAGTGGCGAGAGACCTCCGGGTGATGGAAGAGTATCAACGTTTGCACTAGTAGGGAGATCCTTCCTCCTAATGCTGATTCTCTCTCGAGAAGGTGTCGCAGTGGATGGCCGCACAAGGTCAGTCGTGATATTCACCCTACCCCTACTTTCATCCCTCCCCTCCCCCTGGTAGACCGCCGTCGACGGCCGCTCATCAAAATAGCCGGTAGTGAATTCTTGTCTCCTCCCTAGAGTACTGTTACTTCTCTCTTGATACGGCGGCGGCATGGGGGGACACGCATCGGCGACGATGTCTCTCCCGGGTCTGTTACCCCTACTCCCCTGGTTCATTGCTGTAGACGGACGATCATAACTTGCTTGAGAACGCAAGTCGGTGGCTGACCGGGCATATCGAAGTGACATTGATGAAGGTGACGCCGGCACGGAGAGAGGTGAGCTGGCACGCGACCACTCAGCACCAGTCTCCAAGTGAGATGTGTTGAGCCTCTGCATCGTCGGTGGTTCTCGCCGCCGGCCCCGGTGATACTGTGGATCCATTTCACCGACGTCTCAATGCAGATTGTCGCTTGCTCCGGCTCTCCTTTCAAACTGACGACCGTCTGTTAGGTGAGACGATCGAGTGTGGGACAGGGACGACGGAACAGCTTCCGAAGCACCCGGCAATGTCTGTAAGGACAAAGACAGGCTAGAAAATAAAGGAACAATCGAATGCAGAAGGTTGCCTCCTATGTTGAGTAATCTTCGAATGCTCACGGCGGGATATTGCGCGTTGTCAAGCGTTGATGAGCAGCGACCCCTTTTAAAAATAAATGGGGCAATGCTAATAAGCCCTGTCTTTGTCTCCAATCAAGAAACCGGCGCTGCCCAGCCTCCAGGAACTGGGGAGCTGCGGGGCCATTTGCGTTTGTCAGTCTCAGTCGTAGGATTCCGCCCTTCCTCTCCGTAGCTGACACCTACGTATATAAATGCTCAGACATTCGTTTGTCACAGTGAGACCAATCACGTTGGAAATGTGTTTCATTTTGTCGAGGCGATATCCATGGACACGCGTCCGAAGCGTCAACATGGCGGTGGTGTCCCCAATCTTGCCACCCTCCTCCAGGGGACGGCGCCAATCATCACGGCCGCGACGACTTCTAACCTTGATAACCCCTCTGCGCCCACCGTCGCGCTTAAATAGCGCCCGCTTTAGCATGAAATGCTAGTGCGATGATATGCTTGCTGAAAAAGACGTGCATAGCGGCGCCGGGGAAGGGCTAGGCCATGGAAGGTCATTGAAGCGCTCGCCGCCCGTGGTTGGCACTATACCTACGAGGAATGGGCCATATCTCAAGGCAGTGATCACGTAAAATTTTGGGTTTGGCAAGGGGCATTTGCTTTTGTACTGAGCTACCTAGGCCTGAGCAATTGCCTCTACGTCCTCGGCCTTCTTGACCGCTGTGGTCAAGTTCTCGTATCCTGCCTCAGTAACAAAAACATTATCCTCGATTCTCACGCCGCCGACGGACCAGTACTTGTCCAGCACATCT